ACCTTAATTATCATTACGGTGTTTGTGTTTTATGGGGGGAGGTGTAATCGGTCGTCGTCCGATTTTTCCCTCTATATTCTACTTTGTTAATGGTTTCGGGAACGCAGACTTGAACCCGCGCATTTTTAATATAACTACTTTATAAATTTTATATAACTCTATAACTACTTTTATGACTATTTTATTATTGCTATTTTATCATTATTGTATTATTTTAATATAAGTATATAATTGCGAATAACACAGACATGCCCAACGACATGCAAATATTTTATTAGTTTTAAATTACTAAGTCTCTATCATTATATTTTAATTCTGTTAACTATCTTTTATTATTATTCCATTATTCCCCTTTTTATATTGTTAAATATAAAATATAATTAATATTAAGAAAATTCATGTATCACACTGCGCGAACATCAAGTACCATGACGCCTCAAGAGGAGCTATCGATCGATGCTGGAAGTAAACAGAGCCGCATACCATGATTATCTATCCAAAATATTGAGTCTAACGAAAGGACCGAGGCATACAAAGAAGACTATCGACAACGCCCTGGCAGTTGCAAACTGACTCCCGTGCTGATCGCACGTTTTTATTCTACCGCGTAATCTAAATTTCATTCGCGTATATTCACCGAGTACATTTTAAGTTTCACTGCGTTTCATCTTTTAACAATATATTCACTGCGTTCACTGAGTTTTGTTCTAAATATATTCACTGCGTTCACTGAGTTTTATTTTAAATATATTCACTGCGTTCACTGAGTTCACTGCGTTCACTGAGTTTTATTTTAAATATATTCACTGCGTTCACTGAGTTCACCGCGTTCACTAAGTTCACCGCGTTCACCGACACTCAGTGTTATATGGTTTCGTCATTTTTTTTATGAGCGAAAACCATTTCATCTCGATCAGTTTCCGCGCTCCGGGCGTCCCCTGGTAAAGTCTGTGCAACAGATTGACCGGAAAACAAAGCGGAGCATTGTAAGTTCTAATCCAGGACGTTACAATAAAAAGGGCCCCAAGGGCCTAGAGGTAATTGAAGAACGCTGACATTATCGACAAATGATATAAATTCGCTATTATTAACATAAATATCTGATTCATACATTATTAAATTCATAATTTTTTATTACATAAATGTTCCATAAAAAAATAAATATGCATACTTGTAAAGCTATAATATTCTATATATTGCAGAAAAATTATAATTTTTTCTCTGCAGTTATCTCTGTTAATAATTAAACTTTAATGATAACACTGAAATCACAATTTTAAAGAAAAATCGAGTATTATTGAATTATAAATGTATAAATACGTCCACTAAACTAATAAATCATAAAATTGATACAATATTTTCAGTTTTTAACTCTTATAATTACTTCAATATTCACAAGAACGCCAACTCTTGTAAGGATGTCGGTCTTTAATAGTATCTCATCGATGTGGGCGAACGTATTAGAGCATGTTGGGCATGTTGGAGCGTGCGACGTGAACAAACCTCTAGACAAAAATGGGCAAGTGAAATCATTAGGTGCATTTTTACGAGCTGCTCAAACTGGCCATTTCAGCAACAAAAAAGATAATTTATATAAAGATACTTTATTCTAGATCAGCAATAAAAAAAAGAATAAATTAGGTTATGTATATCGCAGTCAATGGTGGTTTACAGTTTAGTCGACACAGTATGTCAGCAGTCAGCAATGTCAATAGCGTTTGAGCGTTTGACGCTTGTAGTTGAAATTGTTCATACTAGAAAATTTCAGCCGCTGGATAACGAGCGACAAATCTGTCGCTCCAATTGCTTATTTTAGCACACAGCACGTGAAAATGTACTTTTATTATTCTTACACCGTGGTTTTTGGTTATTTTCTGTTCCTGCACTAGACTGCTCTAGAACTCTCTTTCTCAAATCGTTTTCGACAAATATCAAACTGTAAACGGATTGCTACATATAATAAATGTAGGTAATGGATGGCACTCAGGTTCACAAGTAACGTTTATTTATTAGCACATACAATATCTTATCGCAATAATATAAAGTGATGCTGTCGTATATGAGGACGGTTAAAGAATGAATAAATAAATATGAGAATGTATCTAGATGGGAAATTGAGTATCGTGTTCGTGAGAGCGTGCCATCTGATCGCGGAGTATGTATAAATGAGTATAAGGCATGAAGTATAACTGAAAGAGTATGAGAATGTATGTATATGTGTGTGTATATGGAAGTGTAAATGTGTCTCCACAAAACATATATCTATTTCACTTTAAGTTCTAAAAGTGTATACTAGTTCAGCCACAGAAACAGACCTTTTATTGCACCATGGATGCATCCACTGATAAATCCACTAAGGCCGGAATCAGACTACACATTGAAGATTGAGATTGAAGATTGAAAGATTGATGTTTGACCAATCAGAACAAAAGGAGCCAAAATTTCTTTGTCCTCATTGGGTGAAATTACAATTTCTGATCTTTAATCTCAATCTTCAATGTGTAGTCTGATTCCGGCCTTAGTGGATTTTCAATGCTTAGGCCTAAAACTCTAGTGGAAATCCGTTTGGGCCGAATAAGTTATTTGATATTGTTTAACTATGCATGGTTGGCAGTAATGGCATCCATGATGATACTTATCATGGCTACTGTATTTTATCTGTGTCCATTATCGAGTATCGTTGTCAGTTGAATTTTTACCTTGCCGTTATTTCTCGTTGATTGTTTCGTGAAGAAGTTAATTATTTATACAATATCTTTTATTTACATGAAGATACGACACTATCGTCATGACGACTGCGTTGTATTTAGAGCATTATCTCGATAGTGAGTATTGGCGTTCTATGTACATACATACATTGTATATGTGTTTGCTAACTTATTTCTTTAAATTTTTACACTCCCTTTTTGTTTTTTTTTCGAGAAAAAAATGAAGATACAGTAGGAAAATGTGGAAGATCATCGAGCGCGAACGCATTTTATTTATTTTTTTTTTATTTACTTAGTCCTGTCTTCCTCGCGTCTAACTTTTTCTATATTTTCTAAAATTTTTGTTTGTTTGCATTATGCGGAATTACGTTTATTTCTCAATAGAAGTTTGAAATTATAAAAACATACTTTTTGTTAATGTCTGAATTGAAGGACATTTGTTTTATTAGATGCCTAACCTAACTTGAAAAAGTTAGGTTAAGCACCTAATAAAACTAAAAGTTAAAAAAAAAAGTTGATTGAAAAGAAAAAAAATAATTTCTAATATTTTTTTTTAACTTTTTGAGAGATATAGTGTTTATTATGTTTTACATATAAGTCTCTAATTTATATGCAATTAAAGTTAATTTCGTATTGAATTTAATTTTTGAGGTAAATTAAACTGTGCATTTAAAATTAGACTATTTCTCGTTAATTTTTGTTTTAATAGTTTTCTTGTAATTAAAGTAGTTCATTTTACTTGAAATATATATATATATATATATATATATATATATATATATATATATATATATAAAATATTCAACAAAAGCAAAATATAAAGTTTTATTGTAGTCCAGTGTACAGTTAAAGAATAGTTCTTTTTAATATACATACAAGCATATAACAATATAACATATAAGCATATGACATGCAAAACAGTTCTTTAGTTAGTACTGGCTGTATTTAGCAGAGAAAATTAATTAGTTAACATTTAGATTCTTAATATGATTTTTTAATATGATTGATTCCTATACTTATGTTAGATCCAGTAAAGAACTAGAGGCAAGAACTAATCGTATTAAAAAATTGTATCACTAAGGGCTAACTGATTAGTTTTTTCTGCTGAACACAGCCATTGTCTAAAATCGATGTACAGGAAATCAAAAGTAGTCAAAACGATAACTAGGTAGAAAGAATTAATTTGAATATTACATTATTATCTGAGAATTTTTTGACAGACTGTTGATAAAATTTTATTCTGTAGTTTAATATAAATGATCGCTAATATAAAAAAATATTTTTCGAAATTAAACAAATAGATCATTTTTGTAGAAGATATAAGAGTACTATTAAAAATTTTTAAATAAATAATCACTACTATTTTACTTCAAAATTTTTAGTTTAAACTATTATAAAAGTTAAAGTATATATTTAATATTGAAGTATATATTTAAAAACATTTTTATCTCATTGTTAGCAATTCTTAATCTAACGTTAACAATTGTATTATTAAAAAGTACTAAAAAACAATTAAATGTCCTAAAGTCATTTGAATCACTATTATGGTTATTCATAACGCAAAAAAAATGTACACTTTCAATGATAATTTATAATATGTATTGATAGCTTGAATGAATTTTTTAATCTTATAAAGAATCACAATGGCGATCAAATGACTTCAGGAAGTTTAATTGCCTTTGGCGTTTTTAATATAATTGCCATGTTATATTAAGCATTACTTATAGTTAAATAAAATATATTTTTAAATGCTTAAACATTTTTACTTTTATAATTGTCCAAACTATTGTATAAAGTAGAAGTGGAATAGTAATGACTATTTAAGGATTCTCTACATAGAAGTCATAAATGGTCGTGGATTCTTAAGTCATAGGAAACCAATCAGTCACAATCAAATGTAAGGAGAATACTCGATCAGAATTGGTCAATTTCCTACCGTAAACGACTTCTGTGTAGAGGATTCTTTACTTATGAGAATATTGATTTTTAATGCCACTGATGTTCTCTCTCTCTCTCTCTCTCTCTCTCTAAAATGATTTTATTTCATTTTATTTCATTTTAAAACAACTTTTTTTATCACAATAAACGGATTGAAGGACTCTTCCTATATAAAATAAATAATAATAAATAAAGGGCAAAGTAAAAGTCAACACATTTCTTTAAAAAAATAAAAAAATAACGCAATTAAAAGAATATAATACAAATAAAGAGAGATAAAAATTACAAGTTTCTTCAGACATTAACTATCTGAAAAATTGCAGTACAAAATTAATTATCAGAAATGTTGCATATTTGCTATAATCACAGTTCGGGTGAGTCTTGATGTAGAACTCGATTATTCACATATGATTGAACAGTCAAATGTGTTTCGTATCTCTTGAAAAAGTTCTAGTTGAAAAAAAAGATAAAAGGACTTCAAAAATCACGTGTAAAATTATTCAAACAAGTGTGTCCACATAAGTATGAAAAACCATTAGAATATATAAAGTTAAGTGGAACGCAGATGTGTAAGACGGACATTGTGTATCGATTATTATGTACGCTCGCTAGTATGGATCATCGGACTTTTTTTTTATATTATCGACTATTTATATTAAGCTACAGAAATGCTTCTATTGACTAAAACATTTTCTCATAATAATGCAATATTCAAATTAATTCCGTATAATTATAAGTTTGAAGATGAATACATACATTTGATTCCCACTTATGTGCGTTACAGGCCTCGAGCATTTGCCAATTGAATTACAGAGGAATTTTACACTAATGCGTGACTTAGATGCTAGAGCGCAGGGTCTTATGAAAGATATCGATAAACTAGCAGATGATTACTTGAGGAATATGAAGAAGGAATTGCCGGAAAAGAAAAAAGAACAACTCGCTCATATACAAAGTCTCTTTAACAAGGCTAAGGAATACGGAGATGACAAGGTCCAACTAGCTATTCAAACTTACGAATTAGTTGATAAGCATATCAGACGACTGGATTCAGATCTGGCAAGATTTGAGGCAGAGATACAGGACAAAACATTAAACAGCAATAGAGCACAGGAGGAGAGCAATGCTAGCAAAAAGGGTAGGAAGAAACTCAAGGAGAAGGAGAAAAGGAAGAAGGGTACGGTAGTTAGCAGTGAAGATGAGGCCAAGAATGCAAGAAAGAAACAGAAGAAAGGTATGTTAATCAAGTTATATAATTGTAACTTGCTATAATTTTATAAATTTTTAAATATTAAATCCCTTACGCCTTATTATAAATATATATATTTTCATATCAGGTGGCTCAGTAGCTTCAGCATCGTCCACCGGCGCTGTGGGAAGTGGCGCCCAGGTAGATGCAACAGCACTCGGTCATCCAGCCGACGTTCTTGACATGCCTGTTGATCCTAACGAACCGACTTATTGTCTTTGTCATCAAGTATCATATGGAGAAATGATTGGTTGTGATAATCCAGATGTAAGTTTTATTTAAATCTTTTTACTGCAATATCTATTAGAAATTAAATGAACGAAACTTTGTTACCTATTTTTTAATGAATTTTTTTCAATTTTCATTTTAATTCTCGATATTACAGAATCAAGATAATTAATTCTTTTTTTCTTTTTCCTTTTAGTGCCCTATAGAATGGTTCCACTTCGCCTGCGTGGGTTTAACAACAAAACCTAAAGGAAAATGGTATTGTCCCAAATGTACGCAAGATCGCAAAAAGAAATAAACCTTGGAAACAATTATCACCTATGAAGAAAAGATTAGTGCAAAACTATTTCACATTGAAAGTAAATCGACTTTTGTATAAAAGGATGATAGAAAATTTATAAGAGATGTAGAGAGGAGGGGAGAGGGGGGAGGGGAGAGAGAGAGAGAGAGAGAGAGAGAGAGAGAGAGAAAACTGCATTTCCATTTGCATCTAATACTAATAACGAGGCAATTCTTTTATTTTTACGTGACGCGTATAATAATAAATATATGCCACGCAATCACGTATTTGCTTATCGTTATAGTAATGTCTATAAATAATTTCTCCAGAAATTGTTGTGATAAATTAAATTTCCTTTTATCACCATAGAATTACATTACGGATTTTTTTTCTATATTAAAAGGTGTCTATTGAAGCGACTATAATTTGTATATATAGTGAGTTTAAGATCTCATTTTTAAATATATCAAATGTATGATACATAAATAACATTTTATTATTGAATCAAATATCATAAGTGAATTTTATTAATTTTAGATGTAATGGAAGCACAGTTCGAATGTGAACCCATCACAGATGGAGAACGTTTTGAGAATCGGCCATTGTCTCGCTATCGCTTCACAACACATTCTCTTTATATTATATATTAAAATAGTAACTTATTATTGATAATGCAAATCGCGCTTTACATTTTCGACGGCCGTTTCTTGAATATATCTGTGATTTCACTCGCTAAGACTATTATATTTATCGACTTACAGTTTTAATTAGTATATTAAATTAACGTTATTGTTTTTATATATTAAGAAACAACGCTTTATACACATGAAGTAAACTACTGTTGATGATGAAAAGTATTATAAACGAAGTATGGTAATATGATTAAAACAAATATATTTAGTTCATCGAAACTTATTTTGTTTATGTCTACCTTTTCATTGCTAAATATTTACAAAATATATTTACAAACGTTTTCAATTAATTATTTAATAGCGCTGTATCGTACAATTATGCTCGAGTAATGAATAAAATCCAAATTTGAAGTTCTTTCGACGAAATGTCGCGAAGTTTGTTCGCTATAAATTTTCGCAACTTTCTTCAATAATACTGTTTGAATTGCTTATTCTTAAAAACGGCTACATTTTTATAGTATTTGGTATCAATATATCTTAATGAAGACATAAGTCAAAACATAAATAAAAGATTTATAAATATTGTAGAAGCTGTTACAAATGTATGTGAGATAAACATGTTTTCTGAGCAAGTATTAAAAAATGCGACTAGAACGTTGCAGAAATCTCCCTGTCGCATTAAGGGATACCGGATTGTCTGTTGCAGCACTGACTGGGTGGTACGGTCCAATTATACTGATAACTCATGCGATTCCTAAATTCTTTAGGACACAGTGCGCCTAAGGAGGCCTGGTAATAATCGTGCATACTCAGCATATTCTGGACCGTAAGTTTGTGCGTAATTATGTATTGATTGGAACAACCACGTGATCTGTATTCCGTATCGAAGCGTACGTCGTGCTTCCTCTCAATGTTCGCCAACGGTGCAAGCCACAGACCGACGGAGACATCTTCGGAATTGTGTAATCTAGGATTGTGCATGAATTTGAAAGAAAAATAACACAGAAAGAATTAAGACTAAGTAAAGGCTGTAAAGGGTGACTTGTGAAAAAATTTTGTTAGAATTCTTTATATAATTCTTCAAAATAATTTTTATAATTTAGAAAATTTCTCAGATTTTTTTGTATGAATTGATATATTTTTCATGAATTGTAAAATATATTGTTTAAGATTTTTCACTTTATAATTTCTGAAGACAATTTTGCTTGTAAACTCTAAAAAAGTTTAAAATATTTTGGCAGAAATTTTCGTAAATTTAAAATATAACAAATTTTTAAAAATAAGAGAATTTTTTTTCCAGGAAACATACAAAATTACTGTTCTTCATTATATGCAGAATCTTATATGCAAAGTATATAATATTCCGTTTAGACATATAATAAAAAAAAATTTATAACATACAAAATACTGGTTCTAAGACAGAAGGTGGGAGGCCAGTAGAATAGCTTTGAAATCTATTTTTGAGCCTTTTGTATCTGGAAGAATACGTATCGCTAGTAAATCGTAACGAATTTAGCATTTATGATAATTTTTTTTATTTAAATGTCTAATTGTAAGCGGAACTGGTGAAAATAATTCTCATAATATATCATAATATTTTTAACAATATGTTGATGTATTAAATTAAGTGTGAAAATTTCTGAAAAAATACCTTAAATATCTCAAATTTTAATAAAGCTTTCACAAGCTTTTTTTTTAAAAATTATAAAATGAGAAATCTTAAAAGTCTTAGAATCTATTTCATAGATGTGAAGGATTTTATAAAAGAGTTTACATATATTTTAGAAAAATCTAGACTTTCCTAGTACTTAAAAAGTTTCAATTCATATAAAAATTCTAAGAACTTTTCTAAAAAAAAAAAGTTGTATAGAAATTCTGAAAAATTATATGAAGAAATTTAAGAAAACTGTACATCAAAGTAAACGTTAAATACAGAATATTTTGTATATGATTCGCAGCCATACTCACTTAAGGATGTCTGCATTCTTAGCAATGAACTCGACGAGATTGTAAGACAGAACGTATCCGCCACCTACGGCATAAGGAAGATAGTAATCACACAGGATCCAATCGGTTTCCTTCCAGGGACCGTTCCTCTTCACTTGTGCTCGTCCATTGAAGAAGCCCCAATAGAGTTCTCGCTTAGTGCCCTTGCTCTGCCACTTGTCGAGCTCTTTCAGGATCCTATGCACCAGCACGTACGAGTCGTCGTCGCATTTCAGCAGGTAGTCAAAGTCGTAATGCTCGTGAACGGCTTTCAGAGTGTGGAGAACCTTATAATAATAATAACAACAATAACAATTACATTATTGAGTAGAATGATTGAATTAGGAATTAATAAATCAATTTTATATTGTACAAAAAAAAATAGTGATTATAATTAAATAAGAGAATCCCTGTATTTAGTCAAAGCCGGTTTTGTTAATGCTTAAATATTTCTATGTGAATTTAAATACATATCTGATTGTACAACGTGCGCCCCGAAATATTAATTTAATTAAATTTATTTTTATTAGTCTTTAAATTCGTATGATATTGTTTATCACGCGTCTTCTTGAAACATAATGCTCGCTTACTAGTTATTGGTTATTGCGATAAATATTGCTGAAATCTCGGTGGTCGGATTGGAACATTTTTTTCCATCCTGGAAAGTCAGTTTCAGGTTCACACACACAAACTCTGGCTGAGATAATATTTTTCGTAATAAAATTATTTCCAGATATAAGATTCTCATTAATCTAATCTAATTTATAAATTATTTATTAATATTTTTATAAAGATGCTTATTTACAACACACACATAAAAAAATGATTAAATTACTCGTCAATAGTAGTGTAATTAATATTACTACTCTAGTTCTACTCATGATTGCGTTAAAAAATCGAAAACGATTTCGTAGATTGCAGAATTAAATTCGCATAGAAATATTTCAGCGCTGAGATCCAATTTGACCAAATATAGGAATTCTCTTATTTAATTAGATTTGTTCTCATCGATCCTTACATTTGTATCATCATAATATAAATAATGATAGACATGTTACAAATAAAGAGCACGCAATAGACGAGGCTGCGGCTGTGATGCGATGCTTTATCTGATTATTATACGTAAGTAATAATATATCATTAATATAATAAATGTAAACGCATAACATATCATAGTTATAATAAAAACAAAGTTTGATTATCAGACATGATTATCATAGAATTACAACCATATAGAAACAAAGCCCTACCTGATATAGACATATACAGGATGTCTGTTAAGTAAGGTCGGAGCCGCATTGGGGGCATAGAATGGGTCAAGGGGAACAAAAAAAGTCTTATATCATTTTATAATTTTCGCAATAGTTAACAAGATATTAATTACTAAAAATGGCCGAATATTGGTTTTTTATAATTTTTTTCTCAAATACTATCAATTACAAAAAACCTATAAGAAATAAAAATTGTTTATTTTTTTCTCATAAAGTTCTAAGAATTTTTTCAGAATTTTTTATCAATTTTTTAGTACTACATTTTCTTATTTTTATTATCATGAGAAAATGCGGTATCAAAAGATTCTGAAAAAATTCTTAGAACTTTATGAGAAGAAAATAAACAATTTTTGTCTCTTACAGTTTTTCTGCAAAATTGATAGTATTTGAGAAAAACATTATTGAAGACCAATATTCGGCCATTTTTAGTAATTAATATTTTGTTAACTATTGCAAAAATTGCAAAATGGTATAAAACTTTTTTGTTCCCCTTGGCCCATTCTACGCCCCCAATGCGACTCCAACCTTACTTAAGAGACAGCCTGTCCCCTAAGATATAGAACTGATAGAATACCACACAGCATTGGCTGTTACAAACTGTTACCTTTTTCGTCAGCGTGCCGTAAGAATCCTGCAGCCTAGGCAACAGTAGCAAATCATCGAACTTCTGTTTCTCTGATTGCAAAGTATTCCTCTGCTCGGGTAGGATGTCCTGGGTGCCGATGACAAAGAAATGCTTCACTGTGGCATCGTGCTCGGCCAGCCATGTCTTCCTGATGGTGTTACGGCGCTCCAGGTTGTCCGGGTTGCTTAGGATCAGGGCAATCAGTCGGTGCTTGAGCTTGCTCCCAGGAGTCTGTCGGTCCGATTGACATTCCCGCTCGGGCAGGTAGCGCACGCACAGGAAGACAAAGACTACCACGAACAGGAACGCGAGAACGTTTGCCCGGGCGAGGAACCTCCGCCACTGGAGTTTAGGCATGAGATCGAGTCGTAAATATGTCATGAGTCAGTTTGGGAAGAAACTACGAGAGCACGTCTGTCAAATTTCTCATAAATTCGCACAACCAGACCTCTCTCACTCGGAGATAGCACGGCTAGTGACAATTTGCTTTCTGATTCTTTCTCAAATCTCCAACCTTCAGCAAGTAAATCGAATAAACACCAATTTTGTTAGAATATTTGAATAAATACATAACTTTATTAATAATTATTACCTATTAATCTGGTTAGTTTCGTCAGAAATTTTCAGAGATTTTAACATCCGCACTTGATGAATTCTTCACGCTTCTGATACAATTACCTTGACAGACTCTTCACAAATTCGCACGGCCAGCGCTTGTAACTGGAACACCTTCGATCTCGGAATTGCGATATAAATTACATAAATATGTAGATGTAATTAAAAAATATAAAATGAATATCAAAAGAAGACTGAGTCTGCCGACTTTAATTATGCTTCTCGCGCTTCGTCTCCGTTTGCATTGTAACTTTCAGCCCTCGATAATATTTTCGTGAGAAACGTCACTACCGTGATTATCAAGTACTGGCTGTCTCGTTTGACATTGACGAGACAATTCCGAAATCCATAATATAAATTCTCGACTCGCAACAATTACAAAATGTCAATGATCAGCTGTATTCTGCAAATCAGCTGATCGACGCAACTCCGAGCAAGCAGATCGGATTAGGTTAGGATAGAATATTGACATATGACACGTGCGACAGCAAGCGCTCAAGATAGATAAGTGTTTATATTTTATATATTTATGTATTTGGAAAATACAGCGTATTTAAAATATGAAATAAAGATATTGAGAGTCTCAAAAGATTGTGAACTTTTAAATTCCCCTAATTATATTTATTAATTATATAGCGACCCAGATTATTAATTATAGCACAGAGTCCGAAAAGAATTCTTTTTTAATTACTGACTTACGAAATGAAATCCTATTTCGTCCCATTTTCTGTTCAAAATGTTTCTGAGAGTTAAGTCTTTATTTCTTAATTTTGTATAAGAATAAATTATATTTTGGTTTTTTACCTCGCGCGGTTTTTATGTAAATTAAATATTACTTTTATTAAAAGTAACGTACAACTATGCATAATAAATATATTTAAAATTAATTTTTTTCGAGTTGAAATGAATTAGTTCAGTTGTACTGTCTAAAACAGCACAATTAATTAATATTCCAAAAATAAATATTAGAATTTTTCACATATGTGTGAATTTCGAAATATTTTAAGATTTCTTATTCTATAATTTCTAAAAAAAATAACTTTTTTTCGGATTTGATAAAATTTTATCAAAAATTATACAGAATGAAAAATTTTAGAAATTTTATTTTAGTATACCTCAGAATTCGTATATAGTGTTCCTCGAATCGGTCACCACTTTGTTTCGATTCTTTTTTATGTATTTAGACAATTGTTTCTATGGTATTCGAAAATTTAAAGTTTACATCACGTGCACTACAGATTTTCAGCACTGGCAGTAATTATTGGAACAGTCTACATATATGTTTCCTACAGTCATGTTTGCAAGTAATAAACTGCAGATTTTATATATAATCTATAAGATTCTATCTATAATAATAATTGAATGATCTTAGAATCGAATAATTAATCTAATAATCTGATATGTACTGCTATATCGATGAATCCGTTTTTTTTTATATACTATAAAAATATGAAAAGAAAAATATTGTATGATTTTATTTAAAAAGTTTGACGATTTTTTGGGGGGTTAAAAAATGAACAATTTTGATTTTTTTCTTATCCATTAATTCTTCATTAAAAACAACAAATTTTTGTTAGAAACATTTTGTCGTCAACCAATCAGAAGTAACTCAAAAATCATTACGCCCGATTCGAGGAACATGTATATATCTTATATAAGAATCGTTTTAGAAAAAACGTAGACATTCTCAATGCTTTTAAAGAACTCCAATTTGTATAAATTAAAAAAAATTTTTTAAAAGTTATAAAATTTATGTTACATACATTCTGAAAATTTTAAAATTAAAAGAATCTAAAAAAATTAGGTGAAAAAAATTCTAAGAAAAATTTTCATCAGAGTAGACGTAAGATTCGCTAATGACCATTCTGTCGTTATTTATTTTTGTGTTGTGCTTTTAAATTCCTTTTTTCTTTCGAGACGTAAAAGAAAATAATTTTATGTATCTGTATTAAAAAAAATTATTTACGCCATCTGCGATTTCGAATTCAGGAACAAGCTCCGCAAAGTTTACACCTCGTGCGGAATTCTTGTTTGAAGATTTAGCGCTCGAAGAATTTGTTTGTGAAGAACATAATTTATTGCTGGAAATCCAATCATGAAAACGTTTGCTCGGAAACATAAAACAACTAAACTTCTGATAAGGCTCACGAAGGAATTTTTTCTTTTCGTCATTAAGTACCATTACCCGTTCTCGGTTGCCGCAGTCCGCAGCTCTCTTTACATAGTCACCATAGACTCGCGATGAAATAAAGTACAATGGATCTCATTGGCAAAACGACGTTTGATATTGATACAAATAAATTATCGGTTTTTTTCCTCTTGATACACATTTATAATCGTTACGTACAACACACTCGATTTGGCACTGTTTTAGTCACGTTATGAATCCCGATCCTGATGTGAAATTCTATGAAATTCTTGAATTGCATGTTCGGTAACTGTGATTCGGAAACACAGATTTCGATGTGACCATTGCGTGCTCCGGATAAGGCACATAGTGAGATGCGCAAGCTATGTCAAATCGAAACGAAACTCGATACCGGTGAAAACGTAGTGTAGAAGTTCAAAAGTGCTATCGGGATATAGTGCCATCAAATACAACTATTCGTAAAAATCTACTTAAGCTAGCGTACGATTATCATCTGCGGCTTAAAAGTAATTATATTTACTCCTCGCGTAAAATATGTCTTCGTCTAATTAAACCACACAGCTGACTTAGTACGAAGAATATGTATATAATCATCACATGTATATCAACAGATTTGTATTTCAATTATTACTACAACTGATTTTACTCAACAATCTTGTGTCGCAGATTTAGCAGATTTTGCGCGCGAATGTATGTGTGTATGCGTTTTATGTGTGTAATTGTTGCAATATGGCAAAGGAAAAGTGAAGTCGCATGCGAATTTTCCATTGTTAAAAATCCTATTCGTTAACAGTAATTCAATAGCGAAATTTCACGAAAATAGTATATATATATATATTTTTTTTTGCCGAATAACGGAAACTCCGGAATATGTCCTTTACCATATCCTTTGATGCGAACGCTGCAATTTGTATAAAAAAAATCGATAAAATACAGAATCACATTATAAAGCACATTCTTTTTACGTTTTGATTTTATTTCTAACCGTGGTATACACATACATCGCAAATAGAATTTGCTATTCATCTCTGTAGAATATAATAAAATTTAAAATATGTCTCATAAGATTCATTTAAAAAATTAATTTTTAAAATATTTTTAAAAATCTCGTAAAAAAAATATTATACATTTTGATAATCTGTAAGAATGACAAAAGACAATACAACATGAAATATATGTATATCTTCGTGATTTATAAAAAATACAAGAAAATGTGGCAAATTCTGAATATGCTGTAAAATCATCTTTTCCGTTACTTTTCGTTTTACCACGTTCATGTGATTCTGATTTTATCCATTTTATGAAGCATTTTACAAAAAGATTAATTTAAAAATTTTCGAGACGTACGAAGTAAACATTTTTCGATCAACTCCTCTCTTTCTCGTTACGTCTAAAACTGTGAAAATATTAATTTGCTCTCTATCGTAAGTCTATTTAATTAAGTACAAAAGAGCTTTATTTCAACATTGCCTATTTTTTTTCCTAGCATGAGGCATATATATACATATAAACGTATATATGTATACATATATACATATATTTAGCAGCTAATCTGTATATAATACATAAACATGATGACTCTGTGTAGCATATTCAATTGATTTCTTTATGTAACTAAAATCTTGCTATTCAAGAAAAACTGCTTATATTTTGAACGAATAAATTAAACTCACATCAAGCATATTTTCTCTCTCTCTCTCTTTCTCTCTCTTCTAAGTTTGTTCTTATTTATACGAAATTTCGCATATCGCAATCTTTATCCCGTTTAATGTATCAATCATAAAGAAAAAAAGAAAGAAAAAAAATGATTGATCGAATACTAATATTTACATAACAAACGCAATACGAATGATACAATTCGATTATGTAAAAACTACAGCCATTATTGATTAGAGTAAGTGTATACCCTTAAGCCAGTACATGGATGATAATGTTTTTATGTATTCGCCTCGTTCGATTGTTCTCATGACATTGACAATGTTATCAGACACACTTGAGCAGTTCATTACTACCGATGTGTTGTAATAAATGTGTTTTTCGAATATCTACGCCTTGCAATCAACTATATATTAGAATCTGAAAGAAGCGAAAGTATCAAAAGCTACGATCTGCTGACAAACATTTACTGATCAGATTAATTTACACATTTCATAGAGATGCAAAGTAACGCATTTTACTTGTAATGCCGTTGCCGTTATTTTTTTATAATAAGTAATTTGATAATGACGTTACAATTTTTCATGAGTAATGATAACGCCAGACTGGAAATAATTATTTTTGTTCAGTTTTTAGAAATGATTCGTTATTGTTACTCGTTATTCATTGAAAAAAATAACTCGGTACTTTAAATGTTACGTAACGAGTAACGCATTAATAACACGTTTTATTCGATACATAAGTAAAGTAATGAGTTACTGATGCGCTTTTTTAAATAAGTAACGTGTAATGTGTGCAGTAACGAGTTATTTTTTGAAAGTCACTTTTCTAATGACGCTAAAATTACCATTATGAGTGTAATTGTAATGTTATTTACAATTTATTATTATTAAACCGTTATTATAAGAAAGTAATAGTAACGGTAACGACATTACAAGCAACTCCTATTCTTGTATGTTTGCATGTGCCGAAACTTTCTTTTTAATATCTAGAGTTTATCCTGAAATAGCTTGAGAAATAGTACCTAGCCGATTCATTAGCTTTTGGTACTCTCTGGATCTTGGCGAATGTATCAATTAAGAACATTAGCCCGAGAGTTCAGAGCAATTGAAGTTTATTCAGTGATAGAGATCTGAGCAAATCCTATTAATGCCTTGTCATCTGGTATTTCGTTCACCGCATAACCAGTATTCTGTAACAATGAGAAGAGACAATAATCGTATATTTAATAAATATAATCAAATTAAATGATAAAAACACATTATTATACATATATGTAATATTTAAATATACAATTTTTACATCTGATAAAAGTATATATATATATACATAAAGACTATTTACCAAGGAAAATGTCACTGTTCGCAATTGTCCTCCACTCTCTATCAATTTTTTTAGATTTGTTTCTATCACTACAATGTCCTTGCCGTCAACCAAGCCCGCAGCAACTAATTCCGCTGCGATACCTTGTGCAGAATCAACTCCAACAGTAAAATCGAACCTAATATCATTTAGCTCACGTTTTTCATTTCTGAAAAAAATATTTTCAGATGATTATCTCGTATTTTAAAAAAACACATTAGATACTGAGGTTGTTATCATCTATAAAAAATGTATAAGTATATGAAAATAATATTTTCATTTGGATTTCACATACCGTAATCTAAGCACCAAGTTTATAGGCGTATTTTGTCCGGTTGATAGCAAAGCTATTTGGCTCGGTGCTACCCTGATTTGACCATAGAATTCGTCAGGCTCGCCAGCTTCTTCATCGCTGCTGGTCTTTTCGATTGTGTTGACCGGTAACGTCTCTTTGCCTTCATCACTGCTCGAGTCACCGTTGTTCTCTTCTTCTGACCAGACCCATTCTCCGGTCACCGTTCGGTGCAAACGACCCGACGTGCCAGGTTGTCTTTTTGATGCCTGCGAAAGAAAATTTTTCTTAATATTTCTTAACAACTTACTATAACTTAACAGCTTAAACACAATTTTTCAACTATAATTTTTGCAAAAGTTCAATAAAAAGTAATTACGTATAAATTTGCATATATTGCATAATTGATAATAAGAATATACCTTTTGTACACGTGTTTCTAAACTGGGTCCAATCGCTACTAACGTTTGCTGTAGATATTTTTTATCTTTGGCTTTTTTAAAAAAAGGATGTTTTAGCAACTCAGTGGCTGTTGGTCTAAAAAAATATACACATTATTATTTGTAATATATATATTTTACAATTTTACACTCATCCGTTTCTATTTTCAATTTTCCTACTTAACATACTATAAACCATATTATGATAATACCATTTTCAAGTAAATCGAATACATTTAACATATTATCCATTTGCTCCAACTATTCCAATTACTTTGGCAAATAGAAGTAGCAATGTGAATGAAATAGTAGGATCCTTACCTCTTAGTAGGATCTTTTTGTAAACAGTCGACAATCATTTTTCGGAATGTTTTTCCGTATGCTTTATATTGATCCTTGTCATCCGCAGCGGTATCCAAAGTCGGCGGATCGTTCTGCAGTGTCAGCATCAAGACCTTCATCGGGGGATATTTGTGATACGGTGCCGTGCCGCTTGCCATCTCGATCGCCGTGATGCCAAGTGACCATATATCCGCCTTAAAATCGTAGCCATGGTCCTGCACAAACAGATATGCATATCATAATTGATTCTACAGTAGATAGTATATGTGAGATTGCCAATATCTCATGAAATCGTGCTTGCAAAAGTCGCATGCTTGCCAGAACCTTCTGAATGTGATTTATAACTGCAGTATACATAGAGTGACTCGACATTATTGGAAAATATGTTTTTGAATTTGATATCAATTTCTCTATTGACACAGCAATTATCTAACTTTATT